TTATTCCGCATTAGTCTGATTACACATAATTAATAAAATACATTTTGGCACTTAGCTAACATTAATCTTTCATATTACAAACGTTTAGCGATCTTGTTTAAACTTGGTTAACGGCTGATATTCAAAATTAGCCCCAACTAAAGATGCATTTGAAATTTTTATTTCTTGCAAAATCAAAGCGCGCAATATCAAAGAGGCCTACTTTGCGTGAAAATTTTCTCAGCAAATTAATCTCAGTATAATACTAAAGAAAAGACTAAAAACCTAAATCTGATCTATCTAAGGTGTCGAATAAATAGTTAAACTTCATGAAAAATATACTTTGAAACATATGCACGTAGACGTAGGTAGAGTAGAAAATAACTTATAAATATCTCATGATATTATGTGCAGATTATTTCCCTTCTGTGGTAATACTGCAAACAGGCACCAGAAGTAAAATCTGGAATTTATTTATTGGCAGCTACGTTAACATGTGACGTACAAAGACATGCCAAAAATGGTTAGATACTGAGTACAAAAGGGAATTTTAGTGCATTTTAAAGGAATAAAGCGATTTACGCTCCTGGTCACTTTAGAGAAGTAAATGAGTAGCCATCAGTAAGCGGTAATAAATATTCGAAGAAGGAGAACATTGGTTCCTTCCAGCACTGTATTTTACTGGAAAAAATATTCCCATCTTGAATTCTGAACAAATTTCTTTTTATTCTGTACAACAGAAATTTCGAAAACTGGTTTCTGAATTTTTACTTGCTAAAATAGCACAATGGTTTCATCAAATACATATGTTACCGTGAAAGACCGAAATTGGAGAATGTCGACTTTCACCGGAGAATATCAACATTCACCAAATACGTCGGTGAAAGACCGAATATTTCACTACATTCTTGTATATTCGGACCCTCACCGGTGTATGTCGACAATCACAGATATGCTCTGGTGAGAGTCGAAAAGAGAGGTCATAAAGTGCTATAATAATTTAAGTTGTTGCAATAAATAAGATTTGAATCACATAATTTTAGTAAGTTTTTTATTACTGTTACTTTATTTTCTCATTTAGAACGTACTTTATTGTTTTGTATACGTTTCTCATTTAGATATTAAGTAAGTTTCTAACTTCTATTATTTTCCTTTCTCATTTTGGATGCATTGTGTGTTTTAGGTATCTAACACACAAGTTCTTAAGTTCTTATTTCAAGTTTCAAGTGCGTTTATTCTCGACTGAATTACGGAAAAGAAAATATAATATTGTTATATGTTCAACATTCACCATTAGTACATGGTGAATGTCGACATTGACCGGTATAAGTCAGAAATAAGAGTATTTGGAAAATATTTCAGACATACACCAAGAGACTATGTAAATGTTGACATTCTCCAGATTTCGGTGTTTCACCGTAACATATACACATATTACAAAGATCCAAAGATTTTCTACCTCACGGCTGGCAATTATTAGGTCACTGTTCTTAACCCTAGGTATTAGATATCTATATCATCTATATCAGTTTATAATTTACTTTTTGCGCTAATGAACAATTCTATCAAATAATAATTAAATTCCAAGGACATAATCTCAGCATCTCATTTTCACAAAAACTCTTCTACTTCTTCATAGCTATCTCATCATTCTCGATTTATGTCATTGCATATTAGCGAGCAGATGTGCAGAATCATTAATTTGGCGTCTAATTAAAAGTACGCCACTGAAATGATAAACCGAATAGATGCTATATTAAAAGAAAATTGACAGTATGTTTCTATAAGTAAAATTTTAAAAATCTGAAATTTTCGTGAATGAATAGTGTTTCGCGAAATGAGTCTCTCAGTGCGATCAGTCAGACTTCAAAAGAACTGAAAATAGTGATTAAAAAAGTCAAAGAAGCGTTTTGTTTCATGACATTCCAATGATATACACTGCTGCAATAACATTTCAGAGAAAGTACGCATCATATTTGCATGACTACACTCCGCTGTTTCATTCTGCTCCCAGTTAATTCCTCCTCAAATAAACAAAATTTGTTATTATTATAAACTGAAAAGAATACGCGTCATTGATTACAGTTTATAGAAACATTTAGAATGCGTAAAAAACCCCTAGTACAGGTTCTGTAAAATGATTATGATTAACAAATGTCATGATTAACTCAAACCTCCGAGCCTTATGGCTAAGGAAATACGTAACCATAAATGCAGCTTATAATTTCATGTTCTTAAACTTTATGTCCTTGACAAACAGATTTCAAAATTCTGATAAAGCTGAGTTTAATTTTGAAGCTTAAAGGGAAGGGTGAATTTTTAATTTTAAAGGTAATAAAAGAAATGTATACTTTATAATATTAAAACAGTTCAATTTTGAAACAGTCAGAAGAAAGCGCCAGACATATATTACCAAAACAATTTTTAATGTTTTTGACAAAACTGTGTTAAATCAAGATTCCGTCTTACGAGGAAAAGTGGGTTAAAATTTAGATCACGTTTTTTAATAATTCTTGAAAAAATAAAAAAATGTGCGATTTCCAAGCAATGACACCTTGTAATTTCCAGGCAACGTGTGTGTGTAATATTTATAATAGAAGAAACACAGAATTTGAAATTTATACGTCAGAAACAAATAATACTGCGCTTGAGCTTTAACATAATCTTAAAAAGAACACTTCTGTCTGTATAACAAAGTTTATAAACCACTTTTTTCTTTTACCTTCTTAAATTCATAGTGCACATTTTCTGGACAAAAACGAAACTTAATAAGTAACGTAATCTTAGTTTCGTAAGTAATAGCGTTGCACATTCTGCTTTTGCAGAAAAATACGAAAATCATTTAGATTTTCTTGCTTTTCCAAAAGATTAATGCTGTTGATTACATCAAATTTTAGGATTGTTATAAACATTATCTAAGAAAATGCAAACAATTCACGATTATATCATGAACTGAAAGGTCTGCCTTAATCAAATTCGTTAACGCTGTTGTGTTTTTGCAAACATATCCGCTTTGGGAGTTAGAATGTAAAATCAAATAGTAATGTAAAACTCTCCATAATCCCTAGTTTTTCGAAAGAAGAATAGTCCTCTCAAACACTTCGTAAGACAAAATGTCATAAAAGCAAGATGCAAACATCATAAGTTCTTATAGTTATATAGCTATTATTTCAGTTGCAAAAAGTAAATATATTCTAAAACGAATACAAGTTTTAAGCTTTTCTAGAGTTCTGAATGTGTAATTACGTATTTAATCATATTATTTTATATGCATTAGAATGCATTGCTTACTCACTTATATTAAAGAAATTAAAATATTTATTTTAAACAATGAAAAAAGCTAAATTCTGAGGTTTCTTTTAACCACATACAGAAAATACTTCTCCTTATTCTCTGAAATTCTTAGTGCAATTTAAGTAGACCTCACAACGAACTCTGGCCGTAATGAATGCGATAGGATATTTTGTGACTAAGATCACATGGTTGTTTGCAGTGCCTCGGAATCCACTTCAGCAATATAGCGTTATTTGACTAGTACTTGTGAGCAAACAGTGACGCTAAGGCGACAAACCGAACTCAGGGCAATTCATTTTATTAACGAACAAGGAACTTTTGACGTGAATAATAATCCTTTTCACTTCATTTAGAACAAATTATTTGCACATACACTGTAAGAGAAAATAATGGCTCGCATATATAAAATATCTTGACAACGTATGACATAAATTATAAAACTTTAGCTATAATTTAATAAACATTTAACTATTTGATTTTCCTGGGAATATTCTTAAGATGATATATATATGTCATTCAACTCTGAATAGTAAAGTGGTAGTAGGAGATAAAACAATATGGAAGCTGTATTCTAGAACAAAATATTGGTTTTATCTGAATGTGAAATAATTTGTATTAAAAATTTAATTGTTGGGTAATAATCCTATTTTTAATCTATGATTTCAGTTAATGTGCCCCGATACTTTTCACAAACGCAATTTCTTTTTTTGTTATAAATAATAACATCAAGTCTTGTCAAAGTTTGCTGTACCGTTCGAAATAAAATTACCAAGGAATAAATAAATTATGAAGATTTGAAAAATATCTGCGGTTTAGAGACAACGACTGCGATTTCCAAATCTTTTATTGATTGCGTACTTTTATGATGCAAAACCAAAACTGAGCTTTCTTCAATAAAATGTATATTTATTTTTAGTCTATAAATCGCTTACTTCTTACACTTTCATGCAAAATTTCATATTATGAATTTAATTCTATTAACCTATGAATTTAATCTATTATCTATTTATTCTATAATGAATTTAACTCTACTAACTATCGAATTATTCACTTAATATGCTGGTTAGTCGATCTGTCATCAATCATCTTTGTTTTCCTTGGCGACTACCACCAACCTTTCTTATAGCTGTACCTACCTTTTGAAAGGTTTTTCCAAGCTTGTGAAATTACATTTTTATCAATTCCAAACTGTTTAGAGAGAGAGATGTCAAACTACGCTTCCTCTAATCCTCTAAAGCTGTAGAGTCATTAGGATTTTTTTTGGAGGCCGGAGAGATGAAAAATTAGCAATCGCCTTCGCCGGGAATCGAACCACGGACCTCTGGAATACCGGCCCAGCGTGCTGAACCACTACACCACGAAGGCATGCTAGGGAAGTGGGAGAAATACCTTATGTACTCCCCTTTTTAAAGGGCGACTAGGGTTTTAGGGGACCTAGTCGCCAAATCCTGGGTGCGGATAATCATCATCCACAACCCTTTTAGTTCGGGTGCCACTTGTAGAGTCATTAGGGTAATTGGAAGCAGAAAAGAAGATGCAACCGCCTTCGCCAGAAATCGAACCACGGACCTCTGGAATACCGGCTCAGCGTGCTACCGTTACACCACGAAGGCACGCTAGGGAAGTGGGAGAAATACCTTATAAAGCTTGCCAATCATTTCGTACTAAAGGTCTCCTGATGTTTTCTTATTGCCATACTTCACGTACAATCTTATTTTCACTTGCAGAAGAATGCTGGAAATGCGCCTTTCTTTCTACATTTTAAGTTACTTTGCTGTGTGTGCCCTGACTCCTCGCGTTTTGCGTGCCCTGACGTATCCTCTGACGACATGGACATTTCTAATGAGTTGGCTTTTCTTTGCACTGATCGCAAGAAACCTTTTCAACAGTTTAAGTAAGGATTGTATTTTGAAAAATGAATTTGTTGCTTGCACACTACTTAAATAATGCTTTCAGGACCACATTTTGCTAGTTTCTAATCATTCCTGTTTTTCCTATCATCTGTCTATAATTTCATTAAATTTAATTTTCAAATGGCATAACTGTCAATGAAGAATGTCTTAATTATCGAAAAATGATATCGTAATTAGTATGAATTTATTTTAATCAAAAATCCATATTTAAATGAAATTGCTATATGAGCACTTAATTTGCAGTAAACCTTAAAATTATTTAGATAATCAACATATGTAAAAGAAAATGCTTTTCAAACGATATTCATTCTTCATTCTCTCTTTCTTGCCCACCCCCACTTTCTTTTACGGTAAATTAAGTTTCTCGGGTATTAGATGTCTCAATTAGCTCTAAGATTCTACAGCAAATATCATTTCATCGTAAAAAAAGTACTTTACATTAAAAGTTATATATTCTTTATATCACTTTTAACATATCGCAAAGCTTTATTCTCTCTTTCATGCCCCCACCCTCTATTACGGTAAATAAAACTTCTCGGGTATTAGATGGCTCAATTAGCTCTAAGAATATCAAATCAAATATCATTTCATCGTAAAAAAAACATTAAAGTGATATATATCTTTTCATTAAAGTGATATATTCCTTTTCTCCGAACAGGGTAACCGGTCTCATAACCTCTCTTCATATGATGTATCGTTTTTCTGATGTCATGAAGGAATTTGTCAAGGTAATGGTTTCCAAAGAGGAGAACAACTTCACCCCGACATTTATCCTCTTTGTTCGGCATTTATTATTTAGTGATGACATTAAATTTGCGGGAAAAGGGATCACACTGAGTATCATGAAATAAGAGAAATAAATAAGAATCTGAAAAAATTAAACTGATATATTAAATTGGAAATCATGTTTTAGTTTCGTGTGTAGGACACATCGTAGGAATTTTGCATATGTCTTGATGCCACATTTGTTATGAGCCACTAAGGTGAACGATATGAAGTTATATGAAACTCACTTAACGCTAAAATAGTAGTTTACGCTATTTGTCAAATAGCATTTTGATCTACAATTCAGTTTTGATATTTGAAAAATAATGTGACATGACATTCGTTACAAATAAGTTGTTCAGTCAAGATACATGAAAATCTTCTTTTAATGAAGATATTTTAATTATTATTTATATAATATATTAAAATATTTTAAAATATTCTGTTTTGAAGCGTTCAAAATGTGAAGATTTGCGCTTCGTTATTATTTTCTAATTGCCAACTTTACTTCAAGTGTTTCAAATTTATATGTTAATTTTTAAGGAGTGATATTGAACATTGTTGAAAGATAAAAAATTAAGGAACGATGTTTGTTTGATGTTCATACTGCATTTTATTTATTTGTGCTTTATTTCTGAGCAATTCTATTAATTATTTGGCCATACTTATAACATCCATATTTAAGTAACAGAAAATCTTCATGAAATTGGATAAAATCTCCTCAGTGGAAAGGATTTTAATGTTAGCCTGCATTCAACTATTGGACACATCAACTGCTGAGGATGCTACATATTTAAAAGGGAAAATGTTAGGTCCCTGTATCTTAATGAAATATAGCATATATGCCGTAATATGAGGCTGCCTCACATGTAAGATAACAACGCATTTTTTAATCTGATTTTTAAGAAAACAAGAAAGGGAGTGAGTGGTCTGTAGCGGCCGCAATGTGATCATTCATTTATTGCTCACAAGCGCTCTGCGCTTTGGTGTTTTAGCAGAGACCTTGCTCGTGATGACATCTATGGGTCGAATGAGAAGTGTAGTGCGAAAGATTGGTGTTGGCCTTGGAGGAAAGAACTTGAGTTCGCTTCATATCAGTGAAATATAAACAAAAAGCACAAAAGAGCTCTTCGTCACAAAAGAGCACAAATGGAAGCTTGATATACTGAGGAGGTTTTACAAGAAAAATAAACAAATAGTCTACATTTTCAACTCGTATTATGATTAATTTGATTTTTATATCAATCTTATACCATCAATTTCCGCCACAAAGCCATTAGTCGCATAATTCATGTATACATTTCTCATTTCTCATTTCTTTCCTGAGGTTACGGCTCTCTCTACCGTCCTCAGAATCTTTTTGCATCGTCTCTCCCGCCCTCGAGCGACCTCTCAAGTGGTGCGCTTCTCAGCCAAGGGGATACGATACAAATAGTCTACATATCATATCATAAGAATTATACATGGACTATCATTTTCAGCAGATTATTATAAAGGAATAATCACTTAGTAAGGTCAATATGTTAGGCAGTAATTCAATTTTCTTAATGAGTTTGTAGAGTTCCTCACTTTGTAATTCTAAGTTAATGTTGGAAGTGCAGAATCTTAAGAACCGATAAGCGAATAATCGCTTAAGTTCGGGTGACAAGAAACAACAAGATAGAAGGGTAACTAACCCTTTATTATTCCAATAAGATTTAACAAAACTCCGCCTGTGAGTGTACAAACAAAGCCGATACTTGGGCAACTCGAGTTGGACCCTTAAATTATTTGACTACGAAGCTTAGCAAGGACCTGAGTACGGCCGAGCGTAATAACAGCTTTGAGAGAGAGAGAGAGTGGACAAAAAAGGAGACGCGCGTAAATCGGAAACTCTGATTCTCTCTCACTCTGTAAGTAACTTCGTGGTTTAAATACCGCTCCTCCTCATTAAATATTCAACAAATTCCAAAACTACGTTCTGGCCGGAAGTAGAAAGTTGAAGTTAAGAATTTGACAGGAAAGGAACTTTAACTTAAAACTTAACTGTTAATAAAATTAACATAATCCTTATAAGTTTATGACAATTATTTTAAATTTTACTAACAGTTAAATTTAATCTAAATTCTGTCCTGTCTTCACTTTGATTCCCCTCATGTATATTCCCTAGATCAGAAGACAATGCAAGTTAAAGCAAGTGAAAGAAAGCTTAGAAGCTAGCAAAGATAACTGCATGCCTGGCTGAGCAAAGAGACGTGTTGCTGTTCGTATTTGCTAGCGCCGATCTATTTGGAAAAGTTATTATTAGATAGAGGTCCCATTGATTTGCATTGCCATCCGCGGTTGGTAAGTACCCCTTCTATAGTGACTGGCTAAGAATGAAACCTGGTGTCTTGTTTTAGAGAATATGATTTTTGATACTTGTTCATGACTGATTCATGATTCGAGCAGCTGCTGTCAACTGTACGCAGGTAAGTTCTCTTCAATAGTTTGACTTCTTGATTTTATTGCATAATAACTACAATGATGACGATTACAGTGATTATATATATTTTGAGATTTCAATGAAATGTCAAATGGTTATTTCTACAAGACAAAATGAATTCTTGAAAACCACCTCCATAGTCAAGAAGAAATACAGTAAGTCTCAAAAACCATCGAAATCTATGAAATCACTCTTTAATTCGAGAAGGAAACAGACTTAGCCAAGCAGAAAAGGAAAATGAAGGATCCCATTGTAAGTGTCGCCACTGATGAAGCAAAGCTGTCCCCAGACACGGAACAGGAATGAATTATTATCTAATGGATATCATAAACACTGAGCTGGAAACGTCCTCAGCATTAAGGAATGAAACTAGAAAGCAATAAGAAAAGGAAGACCAATCCAAGCCAAAAAAAGCCTCGTTCAGATGATGCTACTACAGACTTTGAAAAAGAAAAGATAATGAGTGGAAACCTCCCAGAAATTCTGAAAATTCTGAACCCATGGAAAATAGCACAAGAAAATCGTTTCCACAGCCTCGAAAACTCAAAGAAAAAAAAATTAAAATGATGAAATGTAGGAAAAAATACTTCCTATGGCAATTTTTGCTCAAAGCTCAAATGATTTGTTAAAAATCGAGGACTCTTTAGAGAAATCTGTGACGATGAACATGAGGCTCATATGAAAACTCAATCTATTTTGATTTACGCAAAGAATTCTACTGATTTTAGGAAAATTAACAAAACTTCTTAAAGAAAGTAACATCCCGTTCCTAACGTATCAATTACCAAGTGAAAGACACATGAGGGTCGTTCTGAAAAACTTAGCTACATGTGTAATTGAAGAAGGGTATATTTAATGACTTAGAAAGAAAGAATTTCCCACTTGTGAAGATGAACTAGATGCAAAAATTTACTAGATGCAAAAATAGAGATTTGGGGAAGCTACCTAATTTTTTCCTCAATCTAAGAAAGAATACAGCTGTAAAATCTATTTTTAACCTGAACATTATCTTTAGTGTTAATACGTTAATCGAAAGATTTACTCCCAAGAAATGACCCACTTAATGGCTCCGATGTCAGAAGTATGAATTAAATTATTTAAATGAAGACTTTAAGAAATTTTTCTATGCGTAAGAAAACTTAGATTCTTTCAAATAACTATTTAAAATTAAGCATTTCTAGCTTTCAGGCTGTGCTGTTGTATGTTACTAATATTTTCCTTTTTATAATACATATCTAGAAATTTCACGGAGTTTGGTATCGAAACAATCATTACCAATCGAGCTAGGATCAACTTCGTATTTTAATGAATCAAGGAAACATTCGAAATAAAATACAAGTGCCACTGAACAAGTATCATTTCATATCTTAAATGCAGAAGACATGTGCAACCTTTATAGCCTTCAATACTTTTATTCTTTGTCTCTTTAATCTTAAAGTTCTTCCTTTCTTTTACGTCTTAGAGTATTATCGAGTACACCTGAAGCTTATGCTACTATACACGCTCTCATACTACAAGATTAAATACATCTGTAATCTTCCTAAAGACAGCGTTCCAGCTGTAGAGTCTGTTAAGTTTTTATCGAAGCAGGAAATACGAAAAATCAGCGGTGCCCTCTCCCTCTTTTAGTTACCAACGGCGTCTACACTGCGGACAAATATTTTTCATTTGATACATAACCATAAAAGTTTTTTACTTAATAATAACAAAATGCAATGATTGTATTTAGGATTTCAGTACCAAAAAAAGGATCAAACATTCTTCTGATGTTTGGCTTTTTTTTTTTGCAACCAACTTGATTTCCAATAAATAAATGACTGGGCTATATTTTCTACACTGATCGGTGTGATGGTTAGAGGTGCTGGTGTTCTAATATCTTTAGGCTTGGCTTCGAATATTGGAGTAAGTACGCATGCTTGTAAATGTAGAGTGTCTTTGCAGTAGGAGAATGCTTAACAATCCACCGAAAAGTTCCATCCAGAGATCCATAGCATTTTTTTAATTGATTGTTCGTGTCCTCCGTTTCTTTTTACCTTGTAGGGTTTATATTTATTTTAAGTTTAAACTATCTTTCCTGTCAAGCCTTACTTTCCCCTGGAATTGCAATGCCATAGTATGTAAATTTTAGTAGAACGCGCAAGGATTCAAATTATCAGCGGAAGTATTCTGAGTTAAATAGAAAGGGAAACGAGTTCGAAGGTGTGCTTTCGTGCTTCACGAGTGTGGAGGTGGCTAGTTAGAAATTGAAGAACCACGCGTTTCGGCCTGTGTGCTTGCCTCGGCAAATTGTTAATCTTTCAACGTGATATTCAGAGTTTGCTGAATTATCAGCGGTATTTTAGAACGCGGTGAGGTTAGTTACGTTTAGAGAGCCTCGTAGTTAGTCACTTGTTATTATCTCTTTTCAGTTTCTTATTTTTATTTTACCGCCAAGTCGGTGTAGTTTGTGAGCGTTAAGAGCGCGCATTTGTAATTTCTAAAGTTGAATAAAAAGGGATTTAAACCCTTCTCAAGACTTTGGTCTATTTCCAGTTCTCAGCAGTCACCACTTTGTTGTGTGCAGATTGGAAGCGCGCAACTTTACAACCTTATTTTCCGATAAAACCACAAACTTATTTTGACTACATGTACTTTCTAACTCAATTGCTCACAATCTGTATGATGGTTTTACTTTCTACCCGTTTATTAGATTCATCATTAGTAAGTGCGCAGTTACCATCTTCAGCAGTTTCCTTTAATTTGACCTTGTTCATATTCTTAAGACACTTTAAAAAAATTCCCCTCTCATATAAACAAATTCAAAGTTTTACCTGAACGAAAATTCAATATTGAAACCTAACCATCGTTAAAAGAATTAAACTTAAGTGTCTACTTGGAGTGCTGATATCATTACAGTGCATTCGATACGAACTCTATACGTTAGCATAAAAGTGCAGTTGTCTTCCCAATTTATCACGCAATAAAAAAACAGCAGCTTCAAAAGAAAGATGAATGTTTTAGCCACTTTTTAAATATGAAACAGAATTACAGGCAGTATTATTTTATGTATTTCATATTCATAAATTAAAGATTAAATATTCTTAAGAATATTTGATCTTTAATTTATTTAATCTTATTAAATAAACTTAATAAGATTAAATAAATTAAAGACTAAATAAACTTCTTTTAAACTATGTAACAATTGAAGTAAATGGTAAATATTTACAATTATAAATAAAGCATATTAAATTAGATTTACTTCAGATTTCGCTTAACATTTTCGCATAAAAATATAATAAATCCTAAATTTCTCTAAAGCGATTGTAAAATTATTTAGATTATGAGAAATCAGCTGAAGGGCTCGAAAAAACAAGGAAACTGTGCTCGTATTCACATTACAAATAACGAACACTAAATCTCCCATGCAGCCAGCTATCTGTTTGACGGGATTTGAAGATGGGAAGAACTAATGAAGCTAAGCGATTTTACTGCTTGGTTGCTAGTGGGCCCTCTAAGAAGTAAGAAACTCAAACCAGATACGTACAGTTAATTAGTTACTATTTAGGGCTTGACCAAATGTGAATAAACTTAAAATCATAATATAGAAATAAAGTCTAACTAATTTTCTATTCTTACAAATATCGCTTTGCGTATTTCTCATCTGACTTGTTTAAATGAAAAGCTTACATATATAAACCTATGAATATCAGCTCAAGCTGTAATGTGGATTTACAAACAAAGACCAGTAAAGCCCAAACAAAATAACAACTATCAATTTATTTAAAATTTATAGTTGCTATTTTGTTCAGAATCAAATATTTTTCAGGACTAAAATATTTTTTTAAATCTGAAGACCCCGTAAACAATTTGATCTCTTCTTTAAAGGCAAGACAAAAATTCTCCTGAAAAAGAGAGATGTGTGTCATATTGACTTTGAAATCGATTGAGTTTCATTTAAATTCAACGCGAAAATAAGATTGCCTTTTTTTTATCTAAATCTAAATTTACATTGATGTATTTTTATCCCAGTTCAAATGCTGTATTCTTAAAATCATTCCGATCTCGGAAGGTGATATAAAAAATGAAAGTTGACGTTATATTAATTATTACCTCATCAGTTCTTCATCAATTTTATATCACTTTATTAAGCAAATCTTCAGAGTCATGTCGTAAATCATTCTTGTAATGTCTAATTCAGCTTATACACCACACCCATCTTTCAAACGTATTGAATGCAACTGACAAATTTCGTCTATAATTTCGAAATTTAATTAGGATAAATTTCAAAAAAGACAACAGTTCTAAAAAATATTATTCCCGGTTGGTATGCATATTTCTTCATATTTTACGTATTTGGGGGAAGGGGGCTAGTTTGTTTTCTGAAAGCTTTATTCGAGCTTCTGCAGTTTTTCCCTCTTCTGTTAGTGATTTTTTTTTAAAGTAAACATACTTTAAAAAAAAATTGCAGGTTTAAGATTGTAGACTCTAATCATGAGAACAAATACTATATTTTACCTCGAATCTTTTAAATCGGTAAGATTTGTAATTTAAAGGATGTTAAATTTTTTTATATTTCTGACGAAGGTATATTTGAATATCACATTTTTAAATCTTTAAACATAATAGTAGTAAGGCATTGGAAGAATTCTCTGTTTTATTACACAAAATCCAAGCATAATAAAAGTTGAAAACTGCATTTTTCATAAAATGTGTATTGCATCTATGAATTTTTAGTTCTTGCATTTTTATCTGAAATTTAGAAGTTCTGTTTTAGATCGGAGAAATAAATAATAACAAGATCATCTCTGTACTATAAAATACTACCGAAATACTTTTATAGTATCTCTATACTATAAAAGGTTTCGATTTGTGCTTTTTATATACGTAGATACATATACAAAAGGCTCCTGAAATAATTTTTATTTGTAAATTTATTGCTTACTTTTCACTTTGCAACTCACACCGGTAGTTCTTTTAATTAAATATATCATATCAAAAAGTTTGAATAAATGAAATAAATAATAGAAGCACAGAAAAAGTAATAATTATCACACTTTAAAGTAAAACTCTGTGAAAAACCTTTTGAAAGAAAAAATTAAGGAATTTTTTATCTTAGTTTCTTAATAAACTTTATGACATAACACAAGGATAAGTTTTGATGACCCCCGACTCATGTAATGATTTCTATAAAATTCAAGCTTATATATGTTATTTTATTATATTATATAAGCAGATATATGTTCTATATAGTCTTGCTTGTTCTTATACTTTAAAACATCTCATTTCAATATTGCATTTTGTTTTCTATTAATAATTCTGAGACTTTTCATTGAATAAAGCATTGTTAAATGGAATATAAAAGGAATATTTTTGGAAAATATTAGAAATTTATTTAACACATCATGCTGTGTAGTTAAAACATTCAAATTTTCACTTAATGTGCATAAATATTTGTTTTTTTTTTTTTTTTTTTTTTTTTTTAATTTTATCTGTATTCATCTGCATAAAGTAGGTCTAGGTTTCTTTAAAGTGGAAGTTTAAACTTTTTTTCTGAATAACATAAAAACATAAAAATATCGTGCCACATTTTTGTTTGCTGTATGTATTTATGTTAAACAAAAAACAACATAACATAAACGTGTTTTTTTCAAAATGTCTTAAGATTTCATGTCAGAAAACATGAGAGTGAAATCGCATCTTTTACGTAACATATCTTATTTTCTCATCTCCCGATTCCTAGTATTCTTTTCCTTCTTCCTCGGTAACATCCGCATTTATTAATTTCCTCACTCGCCCAAAATTCTTACTATTTGCGCCATTTGCAGATTGCATTTTGAGAGGCAGATCAAATCCGGCAAGATAAGCAAGCGCAAGTAGGTTATGAAATATCTTGAGCTTGGAGTACCGTTTTGTTACATTTCATGAAAGCATTCGGATACTTTAATTAATTCCTCAAAACATCCAAACACTATCTGCATAATTGAAGGGATGCCTCACTGAAGAACTTTCTAAAGAAAAATAGCTTGTGAATATGTCGCTCAAATGAAGAAATTTGCGAAAAATCCATACAACCAGCTAGTTCTGCAGCAAACACTCGAAACCGACATCGCGTTGCTCGAACAATTTAAATTATATTCTATTGCCATATGTAAAAGAATGAAATCAGAATCATTTCCGGTGTTACTTTTAATTCAAAATTGACGTGCGTTGTCGTAAGAACTGTCTTAGAATACAGTACGTAGAATTAGACATTTGGTTTTAAGACTTCTTGTCTAATATAAGTTCGTAAATTTGATCAAATTTGTTTTAGTTCTTTAAAAGTTCCAAGTATTTTTCCTTTATTAACTTTTAGTTTTTTAATAACTGATTTTCATAACGGGCTGGTGTGCAGGAATGGTGGCTTCAAAAAAGTGTACAAGCTTAAAATTTTAGTATTTGAGTGGTGTTAAATTTTACTATTTTTATCGATTTGCTTATTCTTTGCTAATAAATATTTATCTGTTTTCATACTGATTTTATGATATGGTTCGTTTTCTATACGTGAATAAAAGAAGCTCAGTACATAAAAGTAAAATTCCAGAATTTACTAGCTTTTCTCCATTTGTGAGATTTATTAAAAATCACTTAACATTAGTCTGAATGTCGGAAGTTAAGGAAATTTCAAATGAAGATCACCTTCTGGATTCTGTTTTAAATTTTTATGTCTAAATCAAAATCGATATCGATTAAAAAACGCATGATTAAAAAACTTAAGGGAAAAAATACTTTTATACGGAATTTTGTTTTCTCTGTAGACTTAAATAATAGCAACTGAGTGAAGCCCTTATTAAAAAGACAGTGAAAAGAGTTAAAAATAAATGAAGAATATGAGAACGTAACATTCGTTAGGATTCCAACGTTAGCGTTACAGCTTCAAAGCTGATATTTATTATTAAAACCTAGAAACTTCTATTAATCTAACCTGAAAGATTTGGAAATTGTTCATTATAATATTAAGAATTTTCTCTTAATCATATTGCACTGCATTCTGAAAAGAATAAAACAAAGAAACTTTAAAACCATTTTCTGCTTGGTTTAATGCAGCTATCTGTATTATTATACAGTTTCGGAATGGAGTAAAGAAATAATACTACGGTTATTCCACTTTTATGGTGTGTGTATTTAATTATGGCAAAGCACACGAGGGCTATCTGCCTAAGGGGAGGGATGCCTTTCGTGGAGGACTTTCTAAGGGAAACTGGCTCGTATACACGTTACATATGGGGAAAACCACGAAAACGCCCATGCAGCCAGCCCCGTTCGCAAGATTCGAACCTCGGACCGAACTACCAGTGTTCAGCGACTTTACCGCTCGGCCGCTGGTATGCCCTCCACTTTTATGATTTTACAGTCAATTAAATACCGTAAAAACATTTCAGAGGTAAAAGTTACTTGATAGAAATATAATACATAAGAATTAAATCACGATCTTGCGTAAATTCATCGATCACCATCACTTTATTTAAACTGCTTAAAATTTTAATTTTGGTTTATTCATCATATGGCAGCAAAATTTCCTGACTGCCACGTGTAAAAGCGATTTTAATCTCAAACTACATATGCCCGTTAATATAAATCACCCTTCAGAATTATTATATTTGAAAGGAATGTCTGTTTTCTGTGGATGCCATTTAAATATCACTCGCATTTCCAGTGAAAATTTTTTTATATTATTTATATCTGTAAGAGAAATTATCTGTGTGAGTACCTATAGACAGTTTAAAGAACTCCAGACCTTAGAGTCGAAATAATAAAAAAAGAACTTGTCTCATAAAGTATTTTTATGAATCTTTTTTCCTTAACTGTTTATTTCACCAAATGATAGTTCTCCCAAGAGGGAAAAAACTGCTGAACATCAGTATTTCCTCACAGACTTGGTTCTCAGCGAATGACTGGTTCACGAGTTTTCGTGGTTTTCCCCACGCGTAACATAAATACAAGCTAATTTTCTGTTAGAAAGTCCTCTGCATAGGCAGCAAGTTTAATGGAGATAGCAGTTTTTGTGCTTTGCAGTAATCAATAATCCAGCCAATAGCTATTAACCTTCTAGAGAATAGATTAATGAATATCTACTCATTTTTTAGATTCTGTTTATATAAGTAAAAATTTAAAGAGCTGTGACTAATGTGTTTATCAATTTTAATGCTTTTATAAAAAAAATTAAAAAGAAATGCTTTTCAGTTGGAATTTCATTTTTTGTAAACATCAAAAGAAATTTAGAATATTTCCAAAATTCGAGCTAAGTTTCTAAATGTTGTCCATAAATTTGGTTGGTGTCATGTGTTTTCAATGTAATTTTAAAGGGGCCATATATTTTGCTTTCTGTCATTAAGTAATATACTGTCTTGTATTATTATTATCCTTACGTTCTAAAAATTACATTAAATATTAAGTCCTAAAAATTTTATTAAATATAGCTAAATGGTTTAGCGTTTGTAATTTTTTGCCCTTTTGTTTCAAGTTAATAAGTTTTTTAGAAAAATAAAGAATCATTCATTTTTTTTTTTCATCAGTGACGTTTTTCGTCTAATTATTGAGATAGGAAAATTTTTGTGTTAATTCTGAAATTAAATTTTAAATACTTTTCATTTTATTTTGGAATTACAACGAGTTACAGAAAATATTTATTTCAAATTGCAAGTTACTACTATAAAGTTAAAACTTACTATCTAAAAAATAGAACACGGCTTGAATTATATTATCCAAATTTATTGAAGTCAAATAAATCTAAATGTAGATCATAAAAAATGAATGAATGAAGCTTCATTTGTAAGTACCGCTGTTATAAAAACATACATCAATTATCTTGCTTGTAAGCAATTCTTGAGTAAAATACGAACAAAAATATCAGAATAAATATATTTCAATTTCAGTTAAGTAACCTTCTAAAAAATTTAAATAAAACTATGCATTACTCACTCAAATTTTTAAAACGATGAAATAATGAAATTCCATAAAATATCATTTTTCATATATTATGCTACTGGAATTTAAGTCATCTGAATGAGATCATAAAAGTTCAGAAATCTTACTTGATCTTCCTCCTCTTGTGCTCCGACAGGTGTCAAGATCCTTAGAACTAGGATGCAAAGAACAAGCATGAAACCTATCTTTGAAATTCCCATATCGAATCTTCTGCCCAATCAAAATCCTGGAATGAAGCCTATGATGATCGCCTCAGAGAACCGGACAAATCCTCAGAATCGCAAACTAACGTAAAATGTTCTCTGGCTGACACACTTTATAGGCCGTCCCCCTTGCGCACTACGCACCCCCCTGCTGAGCGCAATCCAGACCGCTTGCTGGCGCGTTCTTAAGATCTATATGAGGGGGGAGAGCTGCGTTTCCTACGAACTTTTCTTAATGGATAAATCTAGATACACTTTCAAGGTTGATGACGCGATGTGAATTTCAAAATAAATTTTATTTTTTTACAACTAAAAGTTACTAATCGATAATTCGATTTTTTAATTCAGTTTTGGTATTAGTTAATGCATTCAAAGTTCACTGGTTATCGTAAGCTTTATTTTTATCCAGAAACCAGAGTAGTGAACTATCAAATTTTTGCTGTTTTCTACGAATTTCATGTTAATGTTGAATTCTGGGCTTCCTTTCCTTATACTTCTACACAATAACATTATATAACGTATGTAAGTAAGAGAAAAGTTTATTAATATCATATAGTTTAATAAAAAATTGAATTTTATACAGCAGTTTATACTGGCATTTTTTAAATTGCGCTTGGTGAAAAGGAAGCATAACCGTATAAAAACTAAAAAACATTTTGGAAGAACAACTATTTAGTGCAACTTTTCTGCCTTGTCAAATGATATAAAACAGTCAGTCATAACTGACTACGTCTGGGTTACCATATAAAAGGAAAACTAGCACTCCATTACAAACACGGAGACTACCCAAATTGACAGAAAGCAGCAATAAGTGATCTTTATTTCAAAATGATAGTCAGAATACAGAGCGAGAGCGGTGTCGGCTCAGTAGGATGTAGGCCCACCGCGGACAGCGATGCACGAAGAAACACGCCTAGGCATAGAGTCAATAAAAGTGCGGATGGTGTCCTGAGGGATGGCTCTCCATTCCCTTTCAACCATTTAACACAGTTCGTCTTCTGAACAAGGCAGGGGCAGAGTCTCTGCAAACGACGTCCAATCACATCCCACACATGTTCGATTGGTGACAGGTCAGGAGAGTACGGTGGCCAGGGAAGCATCTGTATACCTTGCTGAGCATGTTGGCAGATGCGAGCACTGTGTGGTCGGGCGTTATCCTGCTGAAAAATTGCATTAGGCAGCCCTCGAATGTAACGGATCGCCACCGGCCGCAGTACATTATCCAAGTATCGCTGGGCCGTCATAGTGCCCTGAATACGAACTAAAGGTGACCTGGAATCGTAGGTAATAGTGCCCCAAACCATTATGTCACGTTGTCGCGAGGTGGGTCGTTCCACAGTTACTGCCGGATTAGATCTGTCTCCACGTCGGCGCCACACTATGCGGCGACTGTCTCTGGATAAACAGAAGCGTGACTCATCTGAGAACACGACATTTCGCCATCCTGTCATCCATATCGCTCTCGTCCGGCGCCATTCTAAACTTTGGCGTCTATGCTGTGGGGTCAATAGCAATCTTCCTAACGGACGCCGTGAGTGCAGGCTACGTTCAACCAATCGACGGGAAATGGTTCTGGTCGACACGGGAACATCCAGGGTATCTTGCACATGTTGCAGAATCGCGGTACAAGTGACTTGCCACAGCTGGTCGGCGGATGCGTCGATCTACGCGTGCTGACGTCACTCTGGCTATACCTGCGCCCCTCCTTCTTCCCACATTTCCTTGTTCGCCATAACCAATGCACCGTGCTCTCATCCATGTGGGTATCAGCGATTTGACGTAAGGACCAACACGCCCTTCTCATTCCGATCACCATACCCCTCGTAAAATCGTCTGTCTGCTGGAAGTGCCTTCGTTGACGGCGGCCTGGCATTCTTCCCTATTACACTTATCCTCCGGGACAAAAACCAACTTTCTTCGATAATTCGTCTGGCAGAAATAATGACACGAATATTGCCCATTCTGCACGTTCCTTCCTTTATATCTTACTTCACGTGCGTCGGAGAGCTGCACATTTCACATCATTGGCATAACTCAGTGACGTGCGTCTACTCTAAAATTTGCTTAAATTTCTGACCGCTCCTTCTTGGTGTTGCATTTTCAATGTCGAGCAGTGTATTAGTGGTAGAATATGGCTGCACATTTTGGGTGTAACGGTTGGTTGAATCAGTTCAAAGATCGAAGATTTCGCCATCCATTCGAAGATTTCGCGTTTGACTCAGAGTAAAGATGTAGTGAATTTTTAAGAACTCTCGTTTGAAACTCTTCCTATCTCCATAACAATACGATTTGTATTTAGGTAAGGAAATACTTTAAACTAAAGTAACAATTGCTAGCATTTTCAACAAGATGCAACTTTCTGCCGTCTTTCAAATATCGTTTATAATAACATTAATTGACATTATTAATGGTGGAACTTCTAATACCTAAATGATTCGGTGCAATCATTTCAATGGCAGCTAAAGGAAAAATCATGCAGGTGTTTATCACCCCTTGACAACACTTCAAAATAAATAAAATAAACGTACATGCTCTAAAGGACTTTCTAAATTCAGTAGTAAATCTACCGTTAAACAAGATTTCAAAGTAACAAATAAGAATGTAAATGTTGTACATAAACATCTACTAAGACACATTACCTTGTTTATATTTCTAATGCTAAAATATTGTTGTTAATGACAAACATTGCAGAAAATTTCAAAAATAAGAAATTGAGTCATCTCTGTTCTCAAATATAATCATTTAACCCCTTAACTGCCGCGGGCGTATATATACGCCTTGCTCAGCCGATGCGTTAACTGCCCCAGGCGTATATATACGTCCTTCCAAACTGCTATCATTTGCTTTGCGCTGCTACACCTAAAATTATTCGCAAAGCTTTGGAATGCAACACCACAATGACCTTGACAAAATATGCGAAGGAAAATACTATTTCAGAGAATGTGGGGGAGAAATTGGAGAGAGAGGTGTGTCTCTAAAGCGGTGAAAGTAATGACTGACTGCGCGGTATTGGCTAGTGTTGTTTGTGTGTAAAACGTATTTTTTTTTTTTTTTTTTTTTTTTTTTTTTTTTTTTTTTTTTTTTTTGTCCTGTGTCCTCCATTTTCGTTTACTTTTTGTAGTAGGTTCCAGGAATAAAGAAAGATATAACGGATGTTTCAAACCCATTTATCTTTTTTGAATTATTTTTTGAACTGCTCGTGCTTCATATTGTTACTGAAACTAACCGTTTTGTAGACGAGTATATGAACTAACACCTTGCAAACAAAAAAATCAAGAACAAAATCGTGGCATTCAACCAGTTCAGAAGAAATATGTTTTTTTAGGCATAGTTGATTTCCCAAGGTATAACACTGAAACCTGATATTAGACTTTACTGGTCTAAAAATGAATTGATCGAAACTCCATTTAGGGACTTTTTTATTATAAAACCCTCATTTTTATTATACTTTACATCTTATTCCTTTTATTATACTTTTACTCAAAACATTAAATTTTGTGCATTCATTTTTTTCTTTTATTCTTTATTTTGTGCAAGTAAACAGTAACAGTTTTTAGAAAGTAAAACTTGCACTTATTTTCCCCCTAATACAACGCATAACTGCGCGCGCCTGTGTGAAAAACCGTGGCACTGGGAAATGAATCTTGTACGTTTTCCGCGGCAGTTAAGGGGTTAATAGACTATTCGATCGCCTGCAGTGGAAATCGTATTTCACAATCTCTTCCTGTACCGTTGACTAAAGAATCAATAAAGCCCTGAGTGATAAAACGCCTTTCTTCTACGAAGGCTTCTGGAGGCTCAGGTGAAAGGGAGGTGGTGAGCTTAAACTCTCTTTTTTGAACTTCTTGCAGATGTTCCTAAGGATTGAAGTCAAACGAATAAATATTATTGCCTATCCGTATGAATAAAATACTCGGTCTGAAGGTACTGAGCAACCATAGCAGCTCGATGAGTTTGAGTATTATCATCCACGAGCAAACGTCTGGGCTCATAGCACTCCTAAATAGACTTACTTGGACATGCAGAACATAATCTACGTATCTCTACGCCGTTACAGTATTTTTCCCATAAGTACAGAACTCGCTATGGTCATTTATCATGATTCCTCGCTAAACAAGTAAAATACCAGCACAGAACAGTGACTTTCAGGAATAGGTTGAAGATTGTTTAATCCAAGCTGTCCCTAGATGGAAGTAGGTCTAGAGTTATTATTTATACTAAGTTTGAACTGAACACTACTGGGTCGCAGTCATGTCGACTCTGTTGATGATGAATAATACACCATCTCATACATTCTCATCTGCAAGAAGCAGAAAATGCGCCCAAAGCAGTGGTTTTTCTCACATGAAAACCGTGCTTATAAATGGTAAAGAGTAGATCTGCTTATTCAGGTGTTGTATATTGTATTTTCAGGTAGTGTATTGTATACTAAGAAACACTAAACTCAGTGGCGCAAACAGCCCTAATGGGCCAAGGCCTGCAGTGCCGCGAAATCTGCTTTCTTGACCGTGGGCCCCGGGGTGCTTAAGCATATGCCCTGAACAAGCGGTCAGCTTGGTCGCAGGACCCCCAGTGTTTAATCCCCAAGCGAACTTGGTACTCATTTTATCTACCCAAGGGATGAAAGGCTGAGTCGACCTTGCCCAGCCCGGGGTTCGAACCCCGGACCTGTGGTACTGCTGCGCGATGTGCTAGCCACTGCGGCACCGGGCCTCCGTATTGTACACTATATTATATTATATCTTGCATTTTCAGGTATTATATTGCGCATTATATTGTATTATATATTGTATATTTAGGTATTATATTGTATATCTCAGTGGCTGCTGAAAAGCTATAGGCCAACTCTCTTATAGGTTGCCTAACGATTTCTTCGAACCAGCAATGACATGCAATGGTCTACAGATTCTATTGTTACTCTCCAACTACTTTGACCAGCAAAACGGTTAACTATTTCTCACGCTTAAAAGACGTTTTCAGATTCTTGCAATTACACTGAAGAGAATTTTCACCTGTCTTGCGACATTCAATTTCTGTTTGACCTGCCTTGAATCTACCAAACACCCACCACTTCTGCCCTTCATTTAAATTATATCTAAGATGCGGTTAATAAAATTTTGCTAGCTCAAACTTATTTCATTAGGTTTTCCCAAGATACCAGAGCGATGTTGAACATATTTTATTTCAGGATGCTTTCGGCTTATTTGCATTCCATGTGTGCAATATCCAGCAACATGCTTTTATCTTCACTAGCATATAATTACCATAAATAATTACAATCAGTGAAATTTTAATCAATCTTTGTACGTTTGACACTAGTTTAAATAATTGTTCTTTAGTTTCAAGCAACGGTGCACCTTAAAATAATATGACAGTGAAAATGTTAGTATGCTGGCATCTTTATTATAGGGTTTCGTGTTAACATCTTCATTACTGAGATTACACTTTCATTAATGCTTTTGTTGTGGAGTGGTCAAACACTAGAAACTGTTCGAACAAGCTACAGAAATGAAAACGGAAATAACAAGTATTGATTAGTAATAATATTTGAATAGTGGATAATGATATGGTAAATAACTTACACTACCCGACTATACTAGTGAATATGGTGCGCATATCATTATGCCATATTTATTGGTGTTTTAAATCCATATGAGTATTATAGAAATCATTATATTTTATTTTTTTTGGAAACGTTCTTACATTCTGAAATTCATTTTCGCTGTAATTGATGTTATCTAAAGATAAGAGCAATGGAGTTTTATGAACATATACCCCATTCGCTTTCATAGTTTTATAAAATGCAATATATCAGGAGAATAATGAATAGCATCACATAGCATTATCCACTATTCAAATATTATTACTAATCAATTCTTGTTATTTCCGTTTTCATTTCTGTAGCTTGTTTAGTGAAATATTGTATCTGATATACAGTTATGTATTTCAATGCCATGCTCTTCGTGGGCGATTGAAACATTTAGTGATAATATATCTTATAATTCACATTTACCAAAAGTGAAAGTGAGTAGGACTGATAAAGAATAGAATAATCAGTCTATCTTGTAGCTTTCGGAAAAAATAACCATATATAGCATTCAAAATACGGGTATTGAATCTGATACGCAAAAAAATGCATTTTAATATCATGGTGTTCACAGAACTATAAGAATATTTCCAATAGGAAAGAAAATAATATTTTTAAATTATTTTAATAAAAGGCAGCCGAGAGGAAGAAAAAATATTCTATTACATCATATTTCCCATTTCAGTAAGTACCTTTATTAAGTTTTCTTTTGTTAGCATACTAAGCATTTTTTAATCTTTAGTGTAATTTAATGAAAAATCATTAAGCAAACGATGTCAATAAATCCCTCGTCGTCTAATGGTGAAATCCACACTCGTTCGCTACCGGTCCTCGATGAAAATTCCAAATGTTTTGAGAGTGAACGATGGGATTTACGTTTTCAACCACAAAGTATTCGGCACAGGAGCGTTGGTTGTTTTGCTCTAAATACGATGAAAATAAAATAACCTTTCCTAAATAAAATAAGGGATGAAATAAGATATGTTAACCTCATATCATAAATTTGAGGATGGATAGTAAATAATTTAATTTAAAAAGTTAATTAAGGTGCAGGCTTTTCTTAATGTGGAAAATCATCGATCAAAATTAAGTTATCCATCTGAAGAAGTTTCCCAGTTAATTCTAGCACATAAAAGATTAAATCATCACAGCAAATTTTTTCTTAGAAATTCTTTAATAAATTTTAACTGAAAAGCTACAAAGAAACAGTGAATTTTGTCGATTATTGATTCCAAGCAGGAGTTCAATTCTTGTGACCCGCGTTGTCTGCTTCGATGAAGGATTTAATTGTATGTAATACTGAATCGCATCACATCTATAACACTTGAAAAATTGAAAATACAGCGAAAATTTCATCATTGTATATTAAAATCTTTATGTATATTAAAATAATATAACTATTATAACTATACACACATGCGCATCAGAAGTTAAAACGACGGACGGTCAAACTTGTAATTCTAATAGTATTAGATCACTTTTCCGTCGCACAGTTTTCTATGATTCTATCCTATTTTTTTAAATATTTGATTCTGATGCGATTTAAAGAATATACTTCCCAAGTAAACTCTAAAAGATGCAATATTTTATGGACTTAACGTTTGAATAGCTATCGCAGAGAAACTAGAATCTCTGCAATTGTGATAAAATAGAAAAACTGCAGTTGGAAAAGTAAAATATTGGGAACCCTGAAAATAGTGTCCTAATATTCTTTTCTGTGCCTGTGTGTGTGTTTTAAAGGTATATTTTCCTGAACTAATACTCTTATTTAAAATGAAATTTGAAGGTAGTGTATCAGTAGCAATAGTTTTTAAAATTTCTTTTTCTATAAAAATATTAACCTTCATTTTTAAAGTTACAATAAAAGATTATAAGAGCACAAAAAAGCTGACACAAGTATAAATGAATATAATATTTACATGAAGTAATTCTGATTATACTGTAGGATTCTCCACTGTGTATTTTTAAGTTACAGTTGAAAGTGAAGAATCTTAAAAACTAGTAAGCGAATAATCGCTTGAGTTCGTGAGGTAGAAAACAACAAGTGAGAATGGTAAAATAACCCTTTATTATTCCAGCTAAATTTTACAAAACTCCGTCTTGGTGTCGTACAATAAAGCCGACACTCGGGCTTGAACTTAAGAGACTAAGAATTAAACTAAACTAATCTTAACTAAAGAGATGTAGCCAAAGCTATCAAGATTCTAACGGAGTTGGCACCTTAACGCTAACTGACTGCGTAGCTATCAAGTACGACCGAGCGTAATAATAGCTTACGAGAGAGTAGCCTAAAAAGGCGGACGCGTGCTAGCCAGAATATCTGGTATCTCTCTCACTAAGACAGTAGAACTTTGCTGTTAAATACTGCTCTTCCTCATTAGCAGGTGATTCTAAAACTACGTTCTGGCCGGAATTAGTAAGTTTAAATTAAGAAGCTATAGGAAAGGAAGTTTAACTAAAAATTTAACTGTTAATAAAATTAGCATAATCCTTACAATACGTCTAAGGATACGGAAAAAAAGATTTATTTATAATGCTGCTCTACAGAAGAAGGACTGTATTACAAAAAAAAAAAAAAAAAAAAAAAAAAAAAAAAAAAAAAAAAAGATTACTCCAACACTGTTAAACACATCAAACTGTTAAAATATGCTGAACATACATTTTGTGAATTAGGCGCAAAAATATGAAAGAGACGCTCCCTAAATCTTGGTATGAAAAGGGTGGACTAATACGTAGCTTAGAAACTTCAATCTTATACATAGTAAATGAGGTTTAGAGAATGTCTTACCCCAAAATCATGTAGCCTTACCCCGACAAATTTATTTTGCGGGAATAAGCTAAGACCATTGCATGTTAGCAAAAGATTTGTGATCTCCAACACATACCGCAAAGGACTGCATAATTCAAGTATATTTTATAATTCAGTGAACATGAAAGGAAATCAAATGCCATTGTATGATCACCTGTGCGGCGAATGGAGAAAATATCGAAAGATACTAAAGTACGACGAAAACTTCGGATATTTTTCAGTGTTTTAACATTTAAATCATAGTGATATGGTTGACAGTTCTTAAGAAATTTATTGTTATAATCCGATAATTCTATATTGAGGAAGATTAGTTTCACATAGTACTTTTATAACATCTTGTTTCATATACTCTTGTAAATTTTAGACTTAAAAGTCAGAATCAGTTCATTCTGAAACCAAAGCTGTACCTCTTTACACAAAGCAATTATTTTTTATCTTTGCAACTGTACTGCAGAGCTCGAGTTGCATTCAAAGGCTTTTGAAAATTCAGGATCACGTCAGAGACCATAGTTTCTATTTGAAAGTATTTTATATTCCGACTCTTGTATATGCTCGTAAAGGTTTTTAGCAGTTTTCAAATTCGTTTTATATATTACATTTATATAGAATTAACTAATCATTAGTTGTTTGTACATAACTTCAGTAGAAGCCAACAAATATTAGATCTCATTTCAAAAGATATTTTCTTTCAGTTAAAAGATAGAGCTTCGCAAGAATAATTTTGATACTTTTACTCTATCGGACACAAGTACTTCGAATTTAAATTTCAGTTTAAGAAAATGTTTTGTTCTGAAATAAGTTAATCTAACTCCGTTATCTCAATTATTTTGTTCTATCTCTGTTCTGTCTCCATTATCCATGTTCTAATCTCCATTATTTTTGCTTCCTTTCAGAAGCTTACATCTGCTAACCGTATGTCATATATATGTGAATTACTTTCGTAGAGCACCATCTCGATAATGCCTCTTATGAAAAGTTGGTGTGAGAAGCGAGTACTGAATTATTGAAATTTTATAAATTTAAAAACTGTGGGGTTTTAACTATATTTCCAGTTAATCCATGAAATGAACGAAATTGCCATAAAATGGTAAAAGCAGTTATTAATTGTATACTTCTCGAAATTTCATCCAATGAACATTAAGAGTTTTTAATTCCATAGTCATAATTTAGAAATTTTCAGTCTGAGTCTCTCTTGAGTTTTGATAATTTTTTTCTGGTGCTTGCGGATTAATTTCTGGGTGCTTCTTGTCATAAAATCTAGAAGTAAGTCTTGGATAAACGATTATATATAGGACAGAACTCGAATAAAGCTGTCGAAAGTTAAAATCAAATAAGCGCTCACTTTCTGCAGTCTCTGAATGGAAACTAGACATTTATTATCTTAAGATGATGCAATATGTTCATGAAAAATGGCTAGAAAATGGCTGTATCTTTGTAAAACAATAATCTAAGTAAGGATTTTTTTTTTATTTTTTTAATCCTTAAAAACGATTTTATTATTTATAAAACACAAGATTTTTTTTAACAGACAGCCATGTTTTAACGCAGGCTTAAATTTAGTTTATAATGAAATTTTGGAAATTTCACTTTTTTCCAGATATTATTTTATTTTTCTAGGGATATAATATTATTCCTTCCAATGAGTGAAGAATTTTACTAAAGGAAGGAAGTGCATGACATTGAAGGAAATAAGATCAGTCATATAACAACCCAAGAATTTAGGAAACGCAATTTCATTTCATTTCTTAGATGGCTTTCTCATGACAGACAGTTTCACTTTCGTCCTGATAAGTAAATATGTTTGAAACCAGAATTTCCTTTAAGCATTTCAATTGTAGCTAGTCTTAAGCAAGTAGGTAAAACTCTTCAGCTTCCATGCAGTAATTTTATTTTATTCATAATTATATTACATGAAACCTTATATTTTACTTGTCCTTTTTATATTTATTTGCATCGTATGCTAGTGTTTCAAATTCATTAGCTCTGAAGATTTTAGAACGTCACTAAAACTCAAAGCAACGAAGTAATGTTCTGCAGTTATTTTTAATTTTCCCTTGTTGAATTTACCTTTAAAATTGTAATTTAAAGCACATGTAAAACGATGTTAATAAAATGTTTTTTTTACTAAGAGCCTCATAAAGAGTCTTTCAATAAGAATCAAGTTCTCCCCCCTCCTTCCCAAATTAAACTAATTTTTGAATAGAAAAGGGTAAAACAGATGAACGAAAAAAATATACTAAATGAGAAGTTCATATAGATTTAATTTATCCAACGTATCTCTATGAAGAAAAATTTTTAATTTTACTCTATTAGTCGGTTTGTTATCAGATAAAAATATTACATTTGTGGTAACTTTTGAAATATAAAATGTGCATTCTAAAACTTTTCTTTTGTCAGGGCCTGCAACTGGGTGATCGAGTGAATAAGAACGCTTGACGTCCCGACATAAATATCTGGCAGCTGAACGTATTCGCAATAAGATTAACTCATATGTAATGCGAACACGAATTAGTTTCGGTTAGATAACACGAGGCAGTTTCTGTTTGAGAGAGCCGCTACAGAGCCATCTCTACTGACGCAGGTAAATCTTGAATGCTTTATCCTAACAAGTTATTTAGTTACTATCCCTAGGTACTAATTGGCATAATCATTCTGCTTTTATATCTGTAAATATTCTCAATACTAGCATTTTTTCGAAATAATTCCAAAATTCTTTCTTCTAATTACGAGACGCATTTAAAACTGTGCACCGTCGTAAAGGTGCTGCCCTTCTATAGAAATCGGTCACTGTTCAAGAAAGACAGAAACCTTCATAAGGATACTATAGCACAAAGACGCCTGCACTCGTTTCATTTTCTAACATGAGAAAAGCAATCTTCGTAAAGGTACGATCATCTTAATGCCGGGGCACTGCTATGAAAGAAAACTCTCATTTGCTTTATGAGGCAAAACAGCAAATTAAAACAATATTTGCATAATGGATCTTCGATATAAAAGTGACAGCACCTTTATGAAGGTTGCTTTTTTTTTTCGAATTAGAAAATAAACTGCATAAAAGTGCTGAGATCTTTCTGCCGGTGCACTTTTACGGAGGTTTTTGTCTTTTCCGACAGTGGCCAATTTGCACAGATGTGTCGGCACCTTTAAGCCAAGGCACCGTTATGAAATGGTTTGTTTTGTGAACGGTAGGCCAGTGGATAAGAAATAAAACTAATTAACTCTAGCAGTTTGTACTAAGGGCTGGAAAAGCAGGCTGCATAAAATTTTGGGGATTTTCTCCAAGAGTAAGAAAATACAAGCCAGATTTCTTCTAAATGTGTCAATGAAACAATCTCCTTATGATACCTGGCCTTCTAAAGTTTTGCCGTGATAAATTACCTGCTTACCTTTTAGCAGAAGTTCTCACTAGTTAATGCACTTCTGTATTACGTTTTTTATCTGTCTGAAATATAGTTAACATAAGAATGTAGTTAACAAGGTAAAATTAATGTCAGCTTTGTAAAATTTTACTCTTGAAGATCAAGCAAGCGTTTAGTTGTAAAGTTTCAGTTTGTAACTAAAAGAACTGATTTGATTTAAGATTTGTGTATTTTTATAAATTCCCCCCATGACTGAGAAAGAAATTCAATCACTAAGAATCTATGTGAATTTAAAGGGAAAATGCTTTTTCAGTGTTTGGTTTCACATCTTTTTCCTGACATGAAATTGAAATGAATTTTGAAAAACGCAAGGGAACTTACTCTTGTTTCTAAACAGATAACAGTTGAAACAAAATGGAAACAAAATATGGTCGATGCTTTTACGTTTATGACTGACATCGCATTTTCCTAAAATTTTTGCATCTTATCATTTTCTATAGGTTTAGTAAGCATGCTTCTAATTAGTCTGACTGATGTTATGAAAAAGGAATAACAATACCAGAGCTAATAAGTACTTAAGATTTCACGTTTTACAGAAGTATTGCTCGATTAACTTCTAGATTTAAAAAAGTTCTTTAAGTTAGAGAATTTTCGAATTGGAGATAAATGAGTATAAAATCTTAGGTTTTAGAAATAAATTTAGAATCGATTTTAATATTTCTTTTAGACAAAAATGAGCTCTTCTTTATTCAATATATTAAGCAAATTAATACAGACGTGCATGAAATTCGGAAGTTTAATTCAAAAACTAAATTGATGATTCCTCCTGATACTGCTGTCCAACCAGCGGCCGAGCGGTAAACTCGTTGAACCCTATATGAGTCAGTTTCCTTCAGAAAGCTCTCCACGAAGGCATCCCTCCCTTTAGGCAGATAGCCCTCGAGACTTATACCGTAGTCACATAAACCAAACCTCTATAATACTGCAGTTCTTGATTTAAGTTCCATTACCTTCCCAAGGTTTAAAAAGCCTTATCTCATAATTTTGATTCACCTCAATTTTACTTTGTTCGTTTCGGTTGTTGCATCCTTTTTTTTTTTTTTTTTTTTTTTTTTTTTTCAGTTATTTACTTAGTTTTATTTCGCTTATTTAAATGACATGTTTTCGGCCAACAGAGCGAAATACTTTTGCTGTTTGAAGGAGAATGGCTCTTACCTTGAAGTGATTGAAGTTTTTCTAAACACCGAAGCCACTTCAAAGTTAAATTTTGCTTTACATTTTATTTCAGCTCACGTGCTGTACTTTAAAAATTTTTTAAATGTATTACTTGCAAAAAGACGCAACATTGTATTGGCAGTAATTAGAAAATGAATGTATGTCAAAAAGAATGAATGTCAAAAATTTCTGTTACAGACTTGACTAAAGCAGTTAAGCTTGATAAAGATATTGATTGCTTCATACGCTACTTATACAGTAAAGAAAACTTTAAAAGACTTTCGAGTTTAGCAATATGATGCATAAGCTTAAATATTAAATTTAATTAATATCAGATAACATTCTTCTTACACTTCATGCTATGGATTACTTCTAAATAAATAAATTCTCGCTACTTCCCCCCCTACATTTGTTAGTATTACGAGCATTTAATGCCCTAGGCACAAAATGTTAATTCCGCATTTAGATGAGTATAAGTTTTCTGTTTTAATCTAATACTAGTTTTGATATAACGCAAAAACTCAATTAATCTGTTGCTGACTTTTTACGGATGATAATGCGTATCCAAATTATTATGCATCTCCTTTGTATGTTCTTCCTAATAAGCAGTTAACATATGATAAAAAAAAAAAATCAATTCTTCAGTCAGGTGAAGGAGCTGCGAAAATACTTCGTAAGGAAATCGAAGCTCGTCTAAAAGAAGAACACTAGAGTGTTTTTGCAGAGATAGTTCTAGATAGATGGACTAATCTCTGGCAGTCGTTAACAGGGCATGTAATTTCTTTACATATAGCCATTCATTTTAACCCACCCTTCCTAGAAAATCTCAACTTAAAATTCTAGTGCAAGGGGAGAAACGTATAATGACGGTGTTAGTTTCAGGTATTGCATGCGATATGTTTGCGGATGAGAAACTGAACTTACCCTACTGTGCATACCTATGTTTTGAAACGTTTTACAATACCTAAAAATTCCCATTTCAGAAATATTTGGTTATCTTACAAACTATCTAAGAACACCTGGATATTAGTTTTCATACATATCTTGTAAATCATGGTGGTGTATACAAAACTCTTCTTTGGCATACTTTTAGGAAACGTCTAAAAATATTTCGAGGAAAAGTAAGAATCCTGTTTGACGTATTTAAAGCCAATCTGAATTGGAGATTTTGACAACTGAAGATTTTCTCAGGGTATCATGACTTCGCAATTTTTAGTAGCTTCTGCGACGAATTAGTTAATATATAACCAAATGATTATAAAAGTACTCTTTAATTAGCCGATAAATGTAAAGCGTTGTTTGAAATTCCTTTGTATAGAAGGCTGAAAAACTTTTTCCTCCGCCTCACCTTTATTTTAGCTAATCTTTTTTTTCTTTTGAAAGGTCCATATCTAATATAAGCTGAATGTGCAGTTTTAAAATCATTACATTTTATTACCTGTTTAATCTTATAAAAAAGAAACTTTCACGCTGACAATGACTGTAAATTACTTCTACATTTCCCTAAATTAAATTCAAGAAGGCGCTTCAGATTTTGCTATGAAATCCCTTACCATAGTAAAAGAAAAGGTTTTGGTGGCGCCATCTTGTATTTTCCATCCTAATTAAAAACTCAGGATGAAACGCTTAAATCTAAACAGACTTGTCATTCCTAATTAATTAATTATTCATTCATTTATCAAAACGTGATCCACTATATGATGTTACACATAACACAGTAATACTATGAATGTTTTCTGTACATTTTCTACTAAATACTTAACAGAATTTGTTGTGCTTCTGGTTTTTACCTTAAACGCGACAATGATTTTGAAACTGACAAAAACAGTTTAAGTTAATTATTAATTAAAAACCAGTTAAATTCAATTAACCTTTTGAATAAAATTGGATCTCTAAGTCCCTAGATGGTCACTAAACTGTTCAGTGAATAAGTTACGCTAAATTTTTAATCTGATAAGGATCAGATCAAAGATATAACATATCGTAAATCTATTTCTTGCAAATATCTTTTTAAAAATAAGAATGAAGTATATATTTATATTATTTACAAGATAAATGAAGCTGATACTGCAACATGCATAGATTATTATCGTTTATCATCTATAATATCAATCTTTCGATTTCACACATGTATTCCAAATTTGTATCAACAAATAATTTTAACTTTCGTATTATTGCTCAGCACGCTCCAATTGGTATTAATTTATTGCATTCACTTTGGATATCATGAGACTGTTGTTGAGAGTTAGAACTTTAATTTCAACAGTTAGCAAAATATTTTTATTTAATGAATCAAATGCATATTGCTATGCATATCTGTCACCTAAGCTTAACAAACCAATGAAACTCTAATAGCTAAAAACAAATAATAATAGGAAAGTAATTTTAAATAAAGAAATAGTGATATATATTTTAGCCCATTAATTTGTAATTATCACAGGTAAAATTTACATTTACTCTTTGAATAGCATACAGTTTAGAAAATTTAGGTAGCTCTTTTTAAGTTAACAATTAAAGAAAAGTTGTCTCTTGTTAGCTTTTTCTAAGCATATGAAATATAAAATAAGAAACAAAGAAATCGGTATGAGAATTTAAGAAGACTGACTATAGCATATTTTTTCTCACTTGCAAAATTAAAGTGTGAGCCGCGGTGTTTTCCGTGTAGAATATATGAAAAATATTTGCAGTTTAAGAAATTTTTTCCGTGTTTACTGAATTAAGATTTTAAAATGGTAAAACTTTCTGAGAACATTTATGACATGTTTTCAGAGTATGAAAACTTATAAACTACTTGTCTTACAACTCGTATTCTTTCCACACATACGAGTTGTAGCAGAGTTGTAAATTAAATGATGTTACATCCTATTAAATTATAAAAGTATATCATTTAATGGCATTTAAGGGTGGAAAATGAGCCTCGAACTATTCTAATTTATTTCTTAACCGGCCCCTGAAGACAAGCTGAAAACGATTGTATAATGTCCAGAATTTTGAAGTTGATTATCTC